TTAGAAACAGACTAGAGTAAAATCACATTGGAACTAAAATGAAACTTTTCACACTAGACGTTCGCTACGTGATCGACTTTTAACTGGCACGTTTTTAACTTGTCCGCTAACTGAGACAATTTTTCAGTTGAAGTACATTTTCTGCCAAAATGATGCAATTTCAAAATGTCAAGATTAACTGGATGAACACTGATGCTTTTTAAATGCATTTCAATTAGTGAATTCCGTTCGTTAGGTGAAAATCAAACATTATTTTCTCAGCTATCGAATGTCTAGTGTATCAGTAAATAAACATCTGATCTTCAATGCACTGATTGGATAATAATTTTCAAACCCTTTATGGTCACCAATCGGTCAGATGGAACTTATTAGTAGGTTTAGTTGCTAGAGATATAGCAACAATAGTTTACAATTATAGTTTCAGAACCACGACTTAAAAAAAAAACTCACCTCAAACGGCTCAAGAAAGTTTCGGAAGTATTCAATTAGCGCCAACTCATGTGCTGTGAATATGAGATCGTGAGACGGTTCAATAAAGCATTCACGCCAACTCTTTAGTTCGAGACTTTTCATCATATTACGTAAGTAATGCTAACGTGTTACGCTGATTGTTTTAAGTGTTGGGGCTTATTTAGGTCCTTGACGGAACATTGACATTCGTTTCACACAAACTCGGAAGTTGAGCATTTAGCTCCTCCTCCATACTAGATAACGGGTTTTGCTCATCCATATCAAGTCAATCTCCAGATTCTTCGATATCGGTTAAGATGTGTCTGTTTATTTTATCCATTTCGACTTACAATTCCGGACCTCGGTATCACCCGGCCTCTTCTTAGCCTCTGACATGCATAACAAACAGATCACTTTCTTCTTCAATATATGTATTTTCACGTCACTCTTTCCAAGTTTCACTTTAAAGGTTTTTTCGACATCGCTGAAGTCGTCGTGAATGGAAACAAAACCTCCAAAAATCAAATGCGTAAAGACGAGACCGATGCGCAGGATCTATAGGTGAGGCAGAAGGAAACGTAAGTCGACTGTTTCATTCATCCGGTGTTCTCGTCGGATCGAGAGAAAGAAAGAGTCGGCTAGTTTCCTTCTGCCTCACCTGTAGATCTGGCCGTTCTTGCTCATCGAGACGAAACCAGTGAACTGAAATTTTTGACGTTTGATCAGCGCACCAAAACGCAATCTCGAACAAGTACGAGCAGGAGGACAAATAGTGATTCATCCCTGTGTGCTAGATAGAGCAAGTGCAAACAAACGTCAAAAAACTAATAGCGAATTCGTTTATTATTCAGTTCCAATCTGGATCGGGTGTCAAAATTGGGTCTGCTTGTTTTCTGACAAACGTCAGTTTGCTCATTTGTTTTTAAAACCCAGCTCCGGTTGAGGTTCGCACTGCCAAAAAGTTCGGTTTCGCACTGATAATAAACGAATTCGCTATAAATGACACTAAATAGTTGCCTCATACAGGCTTGTTTGAGGTTACTCAAACATGAGTCAGAAATTTTCATTTTCATAGCTTCTTTCGAAACGCCAAAGCATGAGTAGTTGAGATTTCTGAATATGAGCAACATTGACTCAACAATAAATAAATAAAGGCGGATCTCAATTTTGAGATTTCAGCACATTTTTTGACTCAAAAAGAAACAATCTGGAATTGTGACCAGGCTTGAAAAATCTCATTACAGCTAAAACGCCACTCTTCAAAATTATGAAACTATGAGATATAATAATAATAATATGTTTTATGTAAGATGCAAGAAGAGGAGGTAAAGTTTGTATAGGACACATAAAACCTGTAAATTTTGCATTCACAGGGTCACAATTAGCTATTTTAGCTGTAATGAGATATTTCAATGAGTGAATATCTAGAGACGAACCAGCCCAAGGCTGAAAGTCTCTTTAATAAAGAAAAAAAAAATGAGTGAATACCCTTCGTTATAACTAATAGGTAATTGCGACCCTCTGGAAGTGACATTGACAGGTTTTATGTGTCCTACATAAGCTTTACCTCCTCTTCTTGTATCTGACATATAAAAATTGCTATTTCAATATCCCATAGTTTCATAATTTCTAAAAGTAGCTTTTTAACTGTAATGAAATTTTTCAGCCCTGATTGTGAGAATGTAAAAATACGAAGTTTTCCTTTCCGTCGTAGAAGAAAATTTGAAAATTTCGAAAGAATTCATTCGAAAATGATGCAAATTGCAGCCGCCGTGGATGCAGAAACGTACCGCAAAATAATTGGTAATTGTTTTGCATTTTGTGTTATTTGATGCTTGATTTAACTGTTTTTCAGTTTTTGGTTTATTAATCCTAAAGAAAAAACGAAAAGACACGAAATATTTGCCCATTTGTGTATTTTTGACTCATTTCCCTATATTTTGGATTCTATGGAAATGAGTAGAAATAACTCATCAACAAGTACCTCGCCATTTTACTCAAAATTTAGTTCTGGCTATGTTACTAAATTTAGAGTAGATCCGGTTGTAATGAAATTGAGTGAGTTTTCACTAAATTTTGAGTAGTCATGAACGAGCGTGCACACACGTTCTAATTGCAACGCGTTCAAGATGCATTTTACCGAAGAGGTGTTGCGGATTTATCATCGGCGTGACATAAATTTATTCGGCGGCGTGAACAATTTTACTACGGCGGCGCGCCGGTTCAATTTCATCGGCGGCGGCGGCGTATGAAAATTGCCGGCGGCGGCGGCGTGGCGTGGCGGCGCACAGGTCTACGCAACTGTTTTCTACTATTGCATTTAACGTGCATGGCACATGGATCTAATCAGTAGCAGGACGAGTGTCAAAAGAAGTATTAAACAAAGTGACAATCAATGCGCATGTATGTTGCTGCTACAGTTATGACCCTTACGGGAGTTTCCAGGTACAACACAATATTAATTTACGCTTTAATATACTGACAATAATTACTTTTCCCAGTAGCGATCAGTTTTTCAGCCGGTGTGAAGTAGTTAGTCAGTTCTATCTGACAGAAAACTTTATTTTTGGCTTCATTAGAGAGATTTTCAGGCCTTGGCTGGATCATCTTTAAAACATAAAACTGATCAGGAATGGTAAGTAAATCCTATTGAAAGACAAAAGCTGACAAACTTTATATCTCCATAACTGTCTTTTACAGTATCCTGGGGCTCCTAGGTCCTGGTGTAGTGACGCGATTGGAGAGAGCTGTAGTGTTTTTTTACTTATCGTTTATGTATTATTAATGAAAATAATAATCATTAAATGAAATGCAATATTGATGGGATAAGTTTTGATCCATTATCAAAAGTAAGATATACGAACCAGATATGTTCGAGAATAAACTTTTTAAAGAAGAAAATTTGATGATTAAGTGTCAGACTGTCGATAACAAAATGAGAGACACATGAAATCCAAGTGTATCACAATTGAACTTATAGTGTTCGGGTATAATTTATATTACAAGATTCACACATGAAATGGATGTGTTTCGCAATTTGCGCAAATTGAAGTGTGGAACACATAAAGGAAACGTGTGATTTTTTTTAAGTGTAGTATTAGACGAAATGGCAGACATGCTTGGCATGCACAGTTGTACACACCAACTGCTCATTTGTTAATAACTTTTCATTCAGTTATTAAAATTTGTTTTCCTTTAAAGTAATTGATAGATTAGGATCATAGCTTACTATGGATATGCAAAGAGTAGATAAATCTTAACATTTGAATCAACACCAATGAATTTTTACACTTAAAGTCCGAGATGTGCAGCGAGCATTTATCACTTCATTTTTACAACGCAAAAACAAATACAGTTCATTACTAGATGTAAAATCTGCTTTTTTGTACGTACCTATAACAAGCTTAAACTCTAATCTATCTACTGCTTCAAAAAGAGTTATGTTTCGTCAACTATGTGCAAAGTTATTAACAAATGAGCAGTTCGTGACCAAAACTGTGTATGCCAAGCATGATGGCAGACACCCCGCTTCAGCTATAATGGAGGTAATTGGACTAGTTCTGAACGCGCCAGAAGCTTGTCGTATCACCTCATTATATGTTGGGGTTAGAGTACGTTCCATAGCTTCGATGTTGATGCTGGTGAAACCTAGGCCGTACAGTAGCTTGGAAGTCACGAGAGCTGAACCAATGGTAAGGAGAGTTGAACGGTTGTTTCTCACTAGACGACGTCCCAAAACTCGAAGTATGTTTAATCGCTGCACACAGCTACGTTTGGTTTCTGCAAAGTGCTGAAGAAGATTAATTTTCGCATCTATCAACACACCAAGAATTCGCATCTTTCTAACACGTGGTATACTGCCCATAATCGCATATCAGTCCCATATGGATAGGAAATCAAGCAAAGATGGGAATGATATGCGATTATGGGTAGTATAGGAGTACCATTGACTTTGATAGCCCGACCACGCTTTCGATGTTTCGTATTGCAGATGTGTAATAACTTTGATTTTTCCGGAGCGATAGCAAATCCAACGCTCGTAGCCCAGTTGGTTAATTCAGTAACTGCATTTCGTAAGTATCTCCGTATTTGTGTAAAGTTTCGTCCCTTAGCAATCAAAATTACATCATCAGCGTAAACTACAATTTGAACATTTGGTGGAATCTTTTCGAAGATAGGTTGCATTGCAACTAAAAATAGTGTGACCGACAGAATAGATCCTTGTGGTACACCGTTTTCTGCAACACGCATGCTGGATGTTGCTCCACCGAGTGGTAGTAAACGTCATTTCAACTGCTCGAATGAAGTGGTTAATTGAACGTACGCCTTAGAATTCTTTTGAAATTATCCCTAACATTTCAATCGAGTTCTCGCGTAAGGCCCTTTTCACACAAACCGAAGTACGCCAATGCACAGCCAACAACATCATCGACTAGTGGATTTATCTTTTTACAGTTAGTTACGCTTATCAAAGATACTTTCATTTATCTTTTTATTGTTATGCAGTCAATTTGCCACCATGGACTATTTCTTTCTATCGAAACAAAACATATCTAAAACAAATAGCAAGGTCTATCAATGTTCTGCTAGGTAACCCAACTTACGACTACTGAAGATAAAATTACAAAAAAAAAAATGATCCATTTACTCGTCGTGTAGTGCTATGTGCTTATTCAGCGAAGCTCTGTTGGTAAACGATTCCAGACACTGATTACAGGTGTAAACCGTTGCGATGGCTGCGAGTCAGAAAAAAAGCCCAATAATTATTAGAATCAATAACAGTCAAGCAGTCAAGTCAAATCTCGAAGTCCACCTACCGTGATTGGTCGTTTCATGTTCCGCCTGCAGACGCTTTGTGATGAACGTTTTATCGCACTGTGAGCACTTGTAAGGCTTGATGCCCGTATGTCCCATTTCGTGCCGCTGGCGGTTGCTGTGATCCGCAAACGATTTATCGCAGTACCTGGAGAACGAACAAAAACGCAATCAACTAATATTCATCTGTCGTCCAACGGGGGAACGGAAAAAAGCCTTACCTGCAGGGGTACGGTTTAACTCCGGTATGACTTCTCATGTGCAATTCCAGTCTCGGCTTTGTGCGGAATGGTTTCGCACAAACCTCGCACTCGAATGCCAGCACTCCCGCATGGATCAACTCGTGTTTCTGTAGTGTGGCCTTCCGTTGAAAGCCCCTTCCGCAAACCGGACAGATGAACGGTTTATCCTTGCGATGGACGATGGAGTGTGCCTTCAGCAGAGCGGCGCTGACGAAAAATTTGTCACACGTGCTACACTGGAAGGGCTTTTCACCTATGTGCATTCGTTCGTGGGCAGCCAGCGCAACGGCACTGTGAACCTTGGCTCCGCAGATGGAACACTGTCGGAAAGGATTCTTGTACTTTCTCTTCTGGTGCTTCATGAGCGTCTTCTGAGCGTAAAATCTTTTGAAGCAAACCGGGCATTCAAACGGCTTATCCTGGTACTCCGGTAGGTTTGCGGCGAACTTATTCAAGCGATGAGCTTCGTGAGCGTGCTCAATAAGCTCCTCGTCCGTGCGGAAAGCTTCACCACAACCCTGAGCACAGCAAATTCTCCCCGACCGATAGTTCGCCTGAATCCGAATCGGTGCAATCACGGACGATTGAATCACCTCCGTCTGGGGATGATTGTGAGCGTGCTGTCGACGGGTTTTGGAATTAATGAAACGTGCCTTGCATCGAATGCATTCGTAAATTTTGGTCGTCTTCTGGGATTGCTTCCTGTGCATGTCCAGACCTTGCGAATTAGTATACCTTCGGAAGCAGATTTCGCATACGTTCGGTTTCATAATGTTCAATCTGGTTTTCTTGTTATGTTCTTCACAATGATCCTTCAACTCCTCCGCAGTTTCAAAGACCTGATAGCACGCGCAGCATAGATGGTCATTCTCGGACAATTCCATCGTCGTATATGTTTCCTGTTCGATCTCGTCCAGAACACTGTAGTCAATGCCCGGTTCATCTTTAGATCTGTAAGGTTTTCGTTTCCTTTTGGTTCCCCTCGTCGTAAGATCAGGAATAGCCTCGGCACTGGGTTCCTCCTCTGCCTCATCGAAACCAATAAATTCGACCTCCGAACTAGTCTCCGCCGTCACCTCAAAAGTGCTTTGGGTCGGTTCGTCTTCGGAACGCTGTTCCAGCTTCCACTCCACGCCATCGTCCAAATCCAGATACTCTTCCTCGACCACCACCTCTTCCAACACTTCCTCAAGCTTATCATCCACCACCAACTCCTCCTTACAGAAGTTATTCTCGATTTTTATTTTCACCAGCGCAGCTTCCGTCCCACTGGCACCAGCACTTTTGAACATCTGCCTTAGCTTCCGGTCGGAAATTCTTACTTTCTTAATGAACGCTACGAAACGCTTCATCTCTTCGACACATCCACCACAGATGCCTTCCGGAAGACCATCATCTGGGTCGATCTGGATGGCAGTCAGTTCGCAGATTACGCTGACAATCGGAGCGTCCTCCTCCAGATCGGCACTCAGTGGCAACAGTGCGTCCGATGGTGAGCCACTTTGCATGCACGTCCGACACATTCCAGAAGAATCTGGAACTTGCTGATGAGCACCGGTTTCTGTCTTCATTTTCGTGGATTGCCAGGAAATTTTGTAAAGCACGTAAAACTTCCGTAAAAACAGGTAAACTTATACAAAAATTGCAAGATTATCGTGCGTTCGAAAACAAACAGCATCGCCGTTTTTGAGGTTTGTGATTGTCAAATATCATAGGTTCGTTTTGGAGGTGAAGTTGTCTCGTAAAACTTTTCCTATCGCTCGCCACCCTACATTTCGAAGCGAGAACTATGAAAGTGATGTTTGCATAATTTCCGGTTCATTTTTTGAAAAAAATACATCTTTAGCAAAATTAAACATTATTATGCATTTGGTGAATTTTCACTTAAATTTGACAGATAGAAAATGTTCAAAAAACCTGCTATTCCAGCAGTCTTATTTCTGACTGACAAGAAATTAATTTTGACTAAAAACCTTCTTGAAAATCGACCGATCAACCTCGCGATCAACAACAGCTCATAACACAATAATATACACACAACATAATAATTTATTTTCGAAGCGTCAACTTTTAGTGAAAATCTACCAAATGGAACACAGCCTATAAGAAAATTGATGAATATATCGTGAACCTCTTATGGTGAATAAGGGAACCCTCAAAAATGATGAAGGCTGAATTTTTTGTCGTGAAGGAAAAATATTTTCACCTTTCCTGCACGGAACAAAATTTTGTTCATTTAAATCAAAAATATTTATGTTTATTATATAAAAAAATGAATATTTCAATGTAAATTAAAAACATGTTTTCAACAAAAATGTGTATGTTTGAATTAAATTACAAAGCATGTTTATATCAAAAATACATAATCTGGGTAAACAATTTTTAGTGTGTCCTGTTTTTCCTTCTTGTTCACATTCGGCAAACTCAATCGAAAACGGCCTGCAAACGGCGAAACCGATGTAGAGGGTACGGAAACCCACACAAGCAAGTGTTCCAAGCTCGACAAAACCGGTGGAACCCCACAATATCAACGTCACTCCGTCGTTTCTGATGCCAATCCCCATATCATCCTCACCCCCATCCGACGTCGGAAGAAAAACAGATCATCCCCCAACACCATTGCTTAAATTCATCAACAGATTTTGCAGTAATCCGCATAAGCATTTCACGGACAATTTAAAAATATCGTAGTTGGTAGTACCGCCACTTGTGTCGCGCATAGTCAATTCCCTTGCGTTTGACGTTTACACACTACCACCATCTGTTCAGCGTACTACCCACCACAGTATACTCAACAGATGGCGGTAATGTTTTAGCGACGATGTTTTAAAGTGAGATATATTCAATGTGTTATGTCTGTTTGTCTGTGGTTGGACTATGTTGTTCCTCGTTGAGCTCCTTCAACAGCCTACGTAGCCACACAGGTTCTTGTCCAGCCTCTGCCAACGTCACATATTCGGCTTCCATCGTTGAAGTAGACACGCATGATTGCTTGCGACTTCCCCAGCTCACAGCTGCACCGCCAAGAAGAAAGACGAATCCGCTGTTCGACTTCCGATCAGCAGTGTCACTTGCCCAATCGGCGTCACAGAAACCCTCCAGCTTCAGGTTGTCAGCATCGAAGTACAATCTGTAGTCCACCGTTCCGCACAAGTACCTTACAATCCGCTTGAGTTCATTCCAATCCGCTTGCAAGGGGTAGTTGATCTTCCGGCTCAATATTGACACTGATGCTGCTATATCAGGCCTGGTATTGGTGGCAATATACAGCAGCGATCCGATCAAACGATGATACTCGACGTTGTTCGCCAAGCTCTTCGACTCCAATCTGCTCTTGTAGTAGCCAGTATCCATCGGAATAGTCGACCGTTTCGCCTCCTCCAAATCGTAGACTTTGGCAATCTTCCGGATGAAAGATGCTTGGTTGATTGAGTAAACTCCATCTGCTCCTCGTTTCACACTGATCCCAAGAAAATGACGGATTACTCCCAAGGAAGTGATGTTGAACTTCTTCCGTAACTGCTCCTCAACCTTGCGGATCTCCTCCTGCAGACGACAAACGACGATCATCTCGTCCACGTATAAGAGCAGGTACATTCGCTCTCCGTTCCTCAGATCCTTGATGAACAAGCAGGCATCCGAGGCAGACTGTTGGAACCCAATGCTAATGAGGAAATCCTTTATAGTATGATTCCAAACCCGAGCGGCCTGCTTCAGGCCATAGATGCTCCGGTTTAGCGTGCAGACCCAGTCCTTCTTTCCGGGAACTTCGAAACCGGGTGGCTGAGTCATGAAAATCTCCTCCTTCAACTGACCGTAGAGGTAAGCACACTTAACGTCAATATGCCTCACCTCCATCTTCTTGCTGCTCGCCATAGCCAGTAGTACCCGGAATGTTTGTTGCATCGCAACCGGCGCGAACACTTCCTCGAAGTCACGCCCGAATCGCTGAGAATAGCCTTGCTACAACCCTGGCCTTGAAGCGCACAACTTGACCATCCGAATCCTCCTTCTTGTTAAACACCCATCGACTACCAACGGGTTCCAGGGAACGCATCTCCTCCTTCATCGCTGTCAGCCATTTCTTCTTGTCAACGGAAGCCATCGCTTGCTCGTACGTCGTCGGTTATTCACTGCAGTAGGTAGCTAGGCTAACCTCACCTACTGCATAGTCGTTCAGCCGCTGCGGAAGAACACCCCGCGTGCTTCGTTGCGATCGGCGTAGGCCACTAGCTTCTCCTCCTGTGGCTTCACCGTCCGTATCTCCCGCTGAATCGCTTTGCTCATCTGATCCGGAATAGAAAGATTCATCGCCGTCTTCGTTATCTTCTTCATCCTCATCCGGGACCACTTCCGGAATCAAATCCTCTTCGGTTCGGCCGATCACGACTTCAACATCCTTTGAGCCGCAATCTCCTTCTGAACGGATCTCCGCTCCCAGTTCCAGAAAGTGAGCGTCTCTGCTAATAGTCACCCGTCGAGTCTCCAAATCGAGGAACCGATACGCCTTGGCTTGGCTACAGTAGCCAATGAAAATCATCTTCTTGGCCTAGCTCTCCAGCTTTCCCCTCTTCTCGCTTGGGATGTGGACATAGGCCTCGCATCCGAAAACTTTCAGATCCCGCATCACTGGCTTACGTCCGAACCAGCGTTCGAACGGCGTCCGGTCGACGGAACGGGATGGCAGCCGATTCTGGAGAAACGTCGCTGTCGACACTGCCTCACCACAGAATTCCTTCAGAAGGTAGGCATCGATAAGCATACACAATGCCATTTCTTGGAGGTAACGATTTCTTCGTTCGGCTACCCCATTCTGCTGAGGGGAGTATGGGGTAGTGTACTCAGTTTTAATGCCTTCCTCAGCGAAAAAACTTCGGAGCTCGTTGTTTACGAACTCGCCACCGTTATCTGACCTTATACCTTCGGTTTCCGGTCGAATTGGTTCTTAACCATATTCACAAATTCCTTGATCTTCCCAGGCACATCAGACTTATTTGCCAGAAGATAGACCGTAGCATATCGACTATAGTCGTCGATTAATGGGAGGAAGTATTTGTTTCCTCCTGGGGTGACGTGCTTGAACGGACCGCACACGTCCGAATGCACTAGGTCGAGTATTTCCGTTGCACGCCTCTGCGCTACCTTCGGGAACGACTGCCGGTTGCTTTCAAGGCAACACTCGCACACCAGCTTTATCCCGCAATCAACCACCTTCATCTGGGTGCCGAGCTCCTTTTTGTTGATCAGGTCCACCACGTCGTAGTCCCTGTGGCCAAAACGACGATGCCACGTATGCTGGCAGAAATTGGTATGCCGAGCAGTAGCAGCAACCATAGACCTCGCAGAACATCTCAACAAATACATCCCGTCGCACAGGTCGGCGACGGCCACCGTATGGCCCTTGGTATTTCGGATTCGACATCCATGTGAATCGAACACAACAGAAATATTCTTAGCTACTAGCTTACTTACTGACAACAGGCTACCTTCCAGCTCTGGAACGAACAGGACATCTTGTACCTTCACCTCTTGATCCTTTCCGTTGCCGTTCACGCACAGCAGCATCCCGTTGCCGACGCCTGCAGCATCTGTCTTCTTCCCGTTCGCAAGAGTAACATCGACATGCACGTCTTCCACCAGCTCCGAGAAAAATCTCCTGTCGCCTGTCATATGCTGCGACGCGCCGCTATCGACGAACCAGTAGCTCTTCAAACCGTTTGCAAAACAGCACTTTACCTCCTCGGCATCGGTGGTTCGACCTGCACTCGCCCAGAATAGTAGGGGTGCACCGGAATCCTGTGCTTGCTTCGCCTTTGGCCCATTGGAACTCCTGCTGCTTCCTGATGCTTGCTGCTTCTGGTTATCCGGCTCGCCTTTCAGTGAAGCCAGATACTTCCAACAGTTCTTGCGATAATGGCCGGGCTTATTACAATGGAAGCAAATCTTTTCCGCAGACTTCGATTTCGCCATCGTCTTCAGTGTCTTCATCCGCTTCTGGTATTCGTCTCGAAGTTTTGACTACACCAGCTCCATCGTAATATCCTCGTCGGGGCGACTCTCGAGCGCAGTCACCAGGCCATTGTACGTTTCCGGAAGGCTTCTCAAAACCATGGCCACTTTCATCTCCTGCTCGAGCTCCAAACCAGCCGCCTGCAACCGATCAAAAAGCTCCTCGACGTCCAGCAGGTGCGATTCCATATCGCCTCCTTCGTGCAAATTCTTGTTGCATAACTTTTTGAGCAACGAAATCCGTGACGTCACAGTAGCCTTTTCGTAGTGCGTTTTCAACGCATTCCACATCGCACGCGCACTCGTTGCGTTTTTGAGCAACCCTAGCTGATTGTCTTCGATGGTGAGACCGATGGTAGCTTTGGCCTTTTTATCCTCCTTCATCCACTGCGCAGTGACGGGCTCGGGCTTGGCCTCGTCAATGACATGCCACAACTCCTCACGAGTAAGCAGCATCTCCATCCGGAACTTCCAAACGTTCCAATTCGTGTTGGAAAATCTCGGGAACGAAAACTTCGCAGCGTCCGCCATCTTCCTCCACCTCGAGAAAAAAAAATCCTCGTGCGCGTGACTGACCGAAAACTTAAAACGCGTAAAACTCGGAACTTCCCGATTGTCCGCAAGAAAAAACTGGGCCCATAACCTGTCGGAGGTTTGGGCAGTGGAATCCGACTCGCGATTATATTGTACTTAACTGAATTGCGTTTTATTTGTAACTGATCGATAGCAAAAACAAAGAGATAGAATAGGGTTACCAACTCTGTGACATCGCACTATATGCCCTGTGGGAACAAGGCGGTTCAACACCACTACACCACCGGCACCGCTAAACCAGTAAAACTTACGGCCCATGTTTTGATCGGGCTTAAACAATGTTTTGCTTACACAAATCTTGACATTTATATAAATATGACGTCTGCCGGTCGTCGACGTCGATGGGCAGCGACACTAGCGCCACCACGATATTGCTATTTTCAAATATCTTTTAAAAATAGCAGTTAAATTTCTTACACACTTTAGGAATTTGAACTAGAAACTAAGTGCCAGTAGCGCCGAGTGGTAATTTTCAACCGACAATTTATCGATACTAGCGCCAAATTGGTCTAATCTGGAAAATTTATAGAGGAAATCAGGAAATGCTAGCACTACGTAACGGCGACGTTCCCACTTATCTTTACATAAGTTTCTGGTGGAAGATGAACGTCTGTTCTCTAAGCCTCAACGTCTGTTCTCTGTGGTTCGCCTCAATAACGTAAATCATCCAAAACGATGAGGTTACACACTTAAACAGAGACCCTGAGTTCGGTAAAAAAAATTACCGTCTAAGATCGGTAATGCTAAAAATTACAGATGTTTCGGTATTTTCTCGCTTTATTGCTGAAAACTGTAAATGAAATGACCGAATTTCGGTAATTTTATTTTAATTTACCGAAAACGGTAAACATTTTTACCGGCAGGTCTGTAAATCAGCTTCATCACTGACTTCGGTGAAATATTTTACTGAAGTTTCGGTAAACAAAGCGTTCCGTTACTGAGTTCGGTAACGGTCTAGGTAAACGTCAAATCCACCATATTGTTATTTTCGATCGACATTAAAAGCGTTCGTGCTTGTGCAACACCAAGATGAGCGAATCGTAGATATTTTCCGTAAATAATTAATTTTCGTTATCTAAATAAATACCGATTACAGATGGCCGATGTTATTGCTTGTTTTTTTTTCTGTCGGTCCAAGTTCCATTCCCGTTGGCGACGATCTTCCAATGCTTCCTTGTTTTCAGGGTAGCGCCGAATCTTTCCGACAAAAACTTAAGTTTTCAGATAGTCGCCAACGGTTTTGTTCATTGGTGGTGTAATTTGCAACACTAGCTTATTGATCACGGCTGCAGCCAAATTTTTGCATGGGTTGCAGTGACCACCAACAATATTACAGCAAATTACAGTTGAGTCGGTGACCTTTTTATAAAATTACAAATCACTCGGTAATTTTCGATTTGCATATCGTCCTCAAAATTACAGTTCTCCGGTAAAGTCGACTACAAATCAAGCAATGCACATCGGTAAATGTTACCGATCGTTCGGTGAATTTGACAGCTAATTTTGCTGATCCAGTTTACAGATCTTTCGGTAATGTTCTCGATTACCGAAAACATTACCGACCGTTCAGCTGTTGAGAATTCGGTAAATGAATTACCGAAGTCGGTGATTTTTTCTAAGTGTGTAGTTAGCATGCATATCGTTAGTTAGCTTGCCATCGATTTTCTCTTTACATTGCTACAGCTAAGCGAAACAATTTTCTGGAATTTGTTCAATGTAGTGCTGTAACCGGTTGTACTGGCCATCAAATGCAATAGCAAACGCACCGAGAAACGGTAATCCAAGCGAGTTAATAACAAAAGAGAAAATGGAAGTCGCGTTTACGCCCTTATGCATGCTCACTGTCGAATTATTCTATCGATCGTCTTTTACGTGTTTTCCAAAATGACATGCAGATAGCGCGCTTTCTAAATACTGCACGCACGCACCATTTTTTTGGTAGCTGATTTTCTTGACGCTGTCAGTATGCCAGCCACAAACGTCAACTTGAGTCAAACGTCAACAAGAGAAAAAATCACACAAGACGAGTGAAAAATTTATCAACATTGCAAAGAATTTTCACTAATTTGCAATAGTTTTGCAATATTTTACTAGTATTTAGCCATCGGTCGGTGCGCCAGTGGTTGCTGTTGGAAATCAAGGTAACAGTGATTCGATTTGACAGCCATTTCGTGCTCAGAGCAGTCGTTTTGCTACAGGCTGTTTTGTCTAAATGCACTTGACCTGAGAGTTTTTGTCTTTTTTCACCAGCTCATCCAGGAAACCATGGCTGGAAACGTAGTGCGGATGTCCCAGCCTGGAACGCCAGCAGCCACTCAATCCAGCTACATGAAGGTGTTTATCCAGCGGGACTACAGCGAAGGAACTTCCGTCAAATTTCAGACCAGATTCCCGCCGGAGCTGGAGAGTCGGGTGAGTGGATGTTTTTGTTTATTGTGTGGGAGTGAATGGGATCGATTATTTCTCCTGCGCTGTCGTCTACTAATTTTATTTTCCATTAGAAGCTGTTCATAAACTACGTAGACAGTTTTTGAGAGGTTTTAGATCCCCCCACCCCTCATCTGTTTTTTGAAATTTGAATGGATCGTAGACAGTCGTTAAACATTCCTCCTCCCCCCTTCACCCCTAAAGTGTTAACGTAGTTTATGAACAACCCCTTAGCGCTTTAAATGTTGTTATTTGATTAAATTCGTATCGACGCTTATTTTTAGATCGATCGGCACACATTCGAGAGCACGATGAACAAACTGAACGAGTATTTTGTCGAAGCAGAGAAGGGTTCCTGCAGTACGTATTGCGAGGGTTGTCTGGCGTGTATCACCGCCTATCTAATCTATATCTGCACCGAGACGCACTACGAAAAGGTAAGCGATGCATGAAAGCTAGCTGGAATTTCTCTCAAGCTGCTAATATCGTTTACAGTGCTTGCGCAAGGTATCAAAGTACATTGCGATGCAGAACGAGCGTGTGTACAATCCGAAGGGACTGCAAATCACCGATCCGGTATGCCGGGGACTGCGGGTCATAGAGATCTCGATACTGGACCGTCCCGGACGCACGTGACTGCCACTGTCGCATTCCACCGAGGAATTCTTTATGTAATTCGGTTTAATAGAGAATACTACACATAGACATACCGACACATTCAGCTGACCAACAGCGGAAACCCTCTTCTGGTGTAAATTGAAGGACAAGCAAAATAGTTAAGCAGAACAAGTGTATAATCAGATCCAATCGCGTTGTATCAAAAGTGTAAACGCCATCAAGATACATACATAGAGCATAGATCCATTGATAGAACCCCTTTCCATACTTCCAGCAACGATTTCCTATCCTCTAAAGAGGTACACTTCGAAGGCTTTGGTTGTAGGTATAACTGCTTCCGAAGTCTCGATTTGAGTTCATTTTCATTTTCGTTTATTAAAAACGCATTTAGTTTTCGAATTCCGACAAATGTAACAAACGTTAAACGAATCGAATCAAATTAAACTTCACGCTTTAGTTCTACGTTTAGTATAACAAATTTAGTTAATCGTTAAGATTCCAACCTTCTGCCGTTGATGTTTGAGTATATAGACACGTGAAGAGAGTGAGATGCGAAGGAACCCTACTTGAAGCGGAGGAAACGCGAAAACCAAGCACTGCAGCAACTAACGATGACAACTACTATCACATACTGGAAAGTCAAAGGAAAACGAATCCGCGATGACCCTTACCTGTACGTTCCCTAACTTTTTAATGCATGATAGTGGAGAACCCAAGACTAGTTGGATCCATTGTTGTACCCTTACCTATCACTGAATTAAAAGAGAACAGTTATTCCGGAAAAAAAAATGTTCAGTTATCCAACCGTTGAATCACGCCAATAACTTCCCAAGGAGCAATGGAACGAAACGAAGAACACTTGACTGGATTGTTTTGTTATTTTTTTGCAAGTAGATTAAACCAGAAACAATATCCGACAAATAACGTGCGGGTTCTTGTAATTGTGAAGAATGATTTGAAGTATGAAAATAAAGGTATATTTATTAACAAATTTAAATGACCAGCGTTGTATCAAAGTCTAATTTCGTGTTGAAACTGTTGGATGGTGGCTGTGTGTGTGTTTTGTTTGTCGTGTCCGGCCACTATCCGTAAATTATACGAAGTATTCACTCTAATTCCTTTGAAATTCCACTCAGGATACCCTTGGACATGCTTCCAGAAATGAGATGAAATTTGTTCTGTTTGAATTCCTTTCAAATTAACATCAGAATTCCCTTGGACATCTCCCCGCGATTTCCTTGGAATTTTCCTCCATTCAAGGCTCAGACCTCCCTTCTAAGTTATATTTTAAACATGTCGCTTTAATTGTTCTCAGAATTCTCACAGAGATTTTTTTCAAATTACTTATAGTGACGAAATTCTGCAAGCAATTATGTGCTTATTGTAATTTTTACTATTTGCTACTGTCTAGCTAGGAACAGTATTGACGCAGAGGAAAGGAAATAGTCTGTAAAAAATCTCATTAGAATTCGTTACAAATTCTCCTCGCAATCCCCATAGAATTCCAATTCAACTCAACGGATGAGTTTGGTAATGCTGGGTTTAGACTAGGCAAGTCAAATGATCAACTCAGTTGAATTCAATTGGCTTGCAAAGTTGAGCCTGATTCAACTTTTTTCAATTCAAGTGAGTTGATCAAGTCAGTTGAATGGCATGGTTTACACGTTCAATTCACGTTCAAGTCAGTTGAATTCAACTGACTTGATCAATTGACTTGCCCTATCTAAACCCAGCTTAAAGGGGATGCTTGATTCGAATCGTACCTTCCTCAAAATTTCCCTTTACTCTTTGAAAATTCAGGCTGAAACCTGTTTGTGCTGTACTGTGCTGACCACTTTTTTAGAGTTTAAGCTGAGTTTAGACTAGGCAAGTCAAATGATCAACTCAGTTGAATTCAATTGGCTTGAAAAGTTGAGCCTGGTTTAACTTTTTTCAATTCAAGCGAGTTGATCAAGTCAGTTGAATGGCATGGTTTACACGTTCAATTAGCGTTCAAGCACAGAACAGATAGGTAACTCAGAGCAAACGGTTTCATCTGAAACTGAGTTCATGCTTTTCATGTTATTTTTGCTATTCCTTTCTATTTTCATTTCGCAGTGCACATCCTGATTTTAAATCTTGTATACATTGGTATAATTACCGTTAAAACATTTTTTTCACATTCTCTGCTTGAACGTCAAGCAGTACAGTTCGGTCTTTGCTCGCTCTGTCGAGTTGTTCTAAAGTTTCTAGTTTGTTCCAAACATTCGCAGTTTAATCACAGAGAACAGACGTTGAAGTTCGGTCAGAAACTTGTGTAAAATAAGTGGGAACGTCGCCGTTACGTGGTGTTAGCATCTCCTGATTTTCTCTATAAATTTTCCACTTTCAACCAATTTGGCGCTAGTATCGATAAGTTTTCTGTTGAAAATTGCCACTTGGCGCTACTAGCACTTAGTTTCTAGTGTAATTTGTGCAACGCCAGCGCCATCATGTTGTCAAAGAGGGTTTTTAAGTGGGGAAGTCGCCGTTAGTGGCGCTTAAGTCGAATAGGAATCTTTACACAAGTTTTTAGAGAAATTTTGTTCGAGCCTCCATGTCTGTTCTCGGTGGTTTAATCGCGTCGTCAGTACACTCATTTGATCGAAGTGTTTAAACACTTGAGTTTTTAAATGCACAATCACATTTATTTTAAGTGTATTTCACCTTAGTTCAATGTGTTATACACGTTAAATTCTAGTGTTTCAAAATTTGAAAAGTTTTGTATTGCACATTGAATCACACTACTGTTCAAAACAGATGGATTTAAAGTGTTTTGCATTTCAATACGATGTGAATTGCTTGCTCAGAAAGGTAAACATCGAAAACAAGAGTTGTGACTTTATCCTATTAACCCTCCTCATATATGAGAACAACCGTGGCACAGTGGGATCGAACGAAGACTCCGGCAGCAACACATCCCAACAGTCCATGATCGAATCCCAAATCAGACCCATTAAAAAGATATGTGAAAGCTCTGGCCTCTGTAAGGTTTGTTTATATATTTGTCGATTCATTTTTAGTAAACTAGAAGTCGATAAAGTAGAATATTGTAGAATGTTGAACTATAATGTGCAAAGCTATTGATATCACCATATGAGGCATATAGAATCCAAGCGTGTCACAATTCATATCCATAGTGTTCAGGCATGATTCATAGCATACATGAAATGGATGTGTTTCACAATAAGCGCAAAATTGAGTGTGAGACACATGCTGATGACGTGTAAAATTTTTTGAGTGTATTGTCGGTCACTTCGTGTGATGGGAAGACAGCGCTCCCGGAGCAGGCTCCGAGAGAAAACGGAGAAGAAGAACAGCGGTGAGGGTAGCTTGAGTGTACCTATTTCGAATAGGTACGCTACTCTCAATTGAGTGCAAATTGAGAGTGACGCCGCGATTCTAAATTCCGCTCTACAAAATTTTCAATCTTTCGCTAACACGCGGATTGAAAAATTATAAAAGTTATATACTCACATTAACCATCGAGTGCGCTTCCTCAAATAAATGGCGGTTAAGAGAAATTTGCAGTGTTTCGCTAAATATTACGAAAACATTTCTGTCCACTGCATTGATGTGGCTAGTGGTGAACTGGTTATGAGTGTCATGTCTTTCCGTAACAAAAGATTAGCCATGGATGAGTGTCTGACATGCAATACTGAAATCAAGGCGGACGAAAAACAAGTGAAATGTGTTTACTGCAGCAACTCTGTACACATGAAATGCGCGGGATTATCTGAATCTCGCTATAACAAGATTCAAAAAACAAATAGCTACTATTGCTCAAACCCCTGTGAATCTTCGCATGTGACCAACAAGAAGATGAATGAACTGTTGGCCAATATGAAAGGTCTGCAAACATCGCTTGATAGTATCAACAAAAAAATGTGATGAAAACAGTGCGAACCAAAAACGAACAGATGATGCTATGAAATACTTGAGTGTGTCCATTGGGAACTATCGAAATCCCAAAGTGAAATTAAAATTTCGGTTGAAGAAGTGAAATCCTCACAAACTTTTATCTCCGCGCAATATGACGACATAAAATCGTTACACGAGGAAATGAAAACAGACTTTGCTAGTTGCCTGAATAAAGTGAGTGATCATGATGGTCAGATTGTGGCCCTCAACAAAACAATCGTCGAGATGAAAAAACGTCTGCGTCTTGCAGAGCAGAGTGGACTGAAAAATGAAATTGTTTTTAACGGCATACCTAAAGAGCTCTCTCTCGGTGAGTCGACCATCGTTACGAAGGTAGCTGCTGCTGTTGGAGTTCAACTGTTCTCCACCGACATCGAAAGAACTCAGCGTGCCAGGAATGGTATGCTCCTGGTTGAACTCAGTAACTCCAAAGTACGCAATGACATCCTGCGTGCTCGTAAGGGTAAATCCATATACGTCGATGAAATCGATTTTGGCAATGCGGTGCTACCGGCTGGCTCCAGATCCTCTCCAAACAACAGGTGTTATCACACTAAAGTGTTCATAAATGAGAACCTGACCAGAGAAACCAGATCTATCTTCAGAGAAGCTAAATCTCTCCGAGTGTCTCATGGTTACAAATATGTGTGGTGCAGTAAAGGCAATATCTACTGTAAGCGGGACGACTCTGCTGAAGTTTACGTCATCGATTCCGTTGAGGATCTAAAAAAGTCACGCTCATCTCCGAGGAAAGCCTGATTTCTTACTCTCTGTTGCTGTTTTGCTGCTGCTGCTGTTGGAGGCTGCTGCTGATGGTGTTAGTGAGGAAATTTTGATCTACTCACAATCGACACAATGGAAACAAACGATGATGCTGATTTTATTAGTACCGTGCGGTTAGGAGATAATTTGAGTGTATGCTACACTTTTTTGAATGAAGTTTTTACAAATACAAGAATCAATTTATCATATGTAAACATCAATTTTGCATTTATCATATGTAAACATCAACATCTATTGTGCATCTTATTTGTATAACAGAAATGAGATTGAGTCCGGATGAACTGCATATGTGTCATTTACCCAACTACGAAGTAGTTTGTTGTCCACGATCTAATCGAACAGGTGGTGGAGCCTGTATTTTTGTTCATCAGTCAATACAGTATGACGTTATGAGGAATGAAGAGTTCTCAGAAGGCAGTTCAATAGTTATATCACTGAGAGAGCCTAAACTAAAAATCGCTGTAATTTATAGACCTCCACATGCCACTTTTAGAGATAGCGTCGATTATCTAGATTCTTTACTCGAATGTACTACCAAATTGCTGTGTGTGGGTGATTTCAACATAAACTTACTAAGTGCAATCTCCCAAAGCTATGTGTCAACGGTGGAGTCTAATGGGTTCACGTTTTTGAATAAAGTCGGCATGGAATATGTTACTCATGGAAATGGTCCATCAGGAACGGTAATAGATCATGCCCTTACAGATT